TCTGTCTGTCTGTCTGTCTGTCTGTCTGTCTGTCTGTCGGTCTGTCGGTCTGTCGGTCTGTCTGTCTGTCTGTTTGTCTGTCTGTTTGTCTGTCTATACGCCCGTTTGCATTTCCGTCTACCTCTCAAATCGTGGATTCACACGTTATTATTTTGTGTATCGCTTTCATGTGCTTTCTAGTCTTGTGTTTCGTTGTTATTACTTTACATTACCATGCATTTTAAGCCCCCGGCCCGTTTGTGTGTGGGTCCTTTTTTGTGTCTATCGGTCTATATTTAACTATATTATGCACCCTACACCCCCCACGGAGTCTATAATACTTTTGTTTCTCCCAGGGTGTGCATAGTGCGTACGCATGTTTCCCAAACCTAGCGGTATAGTTACTTGTCTAGAAGCAGAGTCAAAGAAATACGGATACTTTTCTACTTCAGTCCTCCATTGAGAACTTACTTGACTTATTACGCTCATCAGGGGTTTGGACTTTCTGTAGACCCAACATGGGGGGAGGGGGGGAGTAGATTTGAATATATATATCCGAAAGACTATACCGTATTGAAATAGTGTGTGTGAGTGGAGGGGGGGGGGGGGACCTTCTATGAAATTTGATAAATCACTCATGATTATGATACTGACTCCTGCATCGCTTTTAAGGGTAAACCAATGTTCATTTCTATTGTGTGATTCTATTTCGTACAGACGTGCGAAGGTATTGACTGGGGATCATTTCTTCCTTCAGAGGTAAATCATTACTTTTTGTTTTTTGCGTGGCAGCTTGAATTTCGCCACATGCATGGTTTTACTGCCTAACTGAACACGCCAAATACTGATAAAATTTCAATGTTCATATTTGATCACTCACTGGACATCACCGGACTGATTTGCCTGGTCTACTTTTGTGAGCAAAATATAGCACAACATAATAATAATATTCATTTTTTAAAATGTTCACGATGCATGCAATCGAAGCACAATGGTTTATTTTCTATGTTTAGTGATACAGAGAAGAGAACGTTGACTGTGAAGTCAGAATTACACCTTTAAAATAGCATTCTTTATGTACATTGATGCCATGAAAACCCCAAAATAACACTTTTGTAACATTAATGTGTATCTTTGCACACTTCACTATTTTGCCGACACGAATGATAGTATGGTATTAAGTAAGCTGGATTCACGGAGTAAGGATTTGATGGTGCGCCACTGCTGTAAGAATTTGCTCAATGTTTTTTTTTTCATTTTATGACTATATAATAATTATTTGTGTGTGTGTGTGTGTGTGTGTGTGTGTGTGTGTGTGTGTGTATGTGTGTGTGTGTGTGTAAATGATCTTTTAAGTAATGTTAATGCGCGCACACGTAATTATGCATCTGTAAAAATGCCAAATAGAGCCTCCCCGCAAAAAAAAATAAATCAAAATAAAATAAAATATAATAAAATAAAATAATATAATTTTTTAAAACCCAACGCCCCAACCAAGCAAACAAACAAGCGAACTGAATTTTTTTTTAACGCCGTGAGACTTCATAATACATGGACTATGGCTATTGTCTTCCTTGTTTCTAAGGATGACACAACGGACAGCTCCTCAGAGGTAATACTTTGGGTTTGCAGTCATCGCTTTAACATTCATGCTGTGTTAATTGTTTCCTGTGGTGCTGTGTGTGCCTGTCTTTTCCTTCCTCCCGCCTGTTTGAATACAATTTGCACGTTTCATTTAGGGTTTCCTGCTCTGTGAACTTCTGGTAATTGAAAGAATTTTTAACGATATGAAGCAATGAAGCGCCACCATGTACCCTTTCCGAAAGATGACATTCCGGGCTAAATTTAATACTAAAGCTTATGAATGTTATACATCTCTGTCTTCTCCTTAAAAGGAGCAAAAACAAAATGTAAACAAACAAACTAACAAACAAACAAACAAATGAAAAGCAGCATAGTGACCTCAGGAGACTATGCCCTGTGCAAGTAAAAGAAAACTCACACAAGCAAACAAAAACAACCAACAACAATAAGTCCAACCTGAAAGACCACTGGAAAAAGAATTAATAATTATAACAAGACTTAGTAGAACTATATACAACAAAACATCACAACGCTAAACGAACTATACACAGCAACCCGTTCCTTCGCTCCAGGGCTAGTCCTATGCTCTTGTATACATGTATCAAGGCTTGGACATGGCGCTTGCTTTTGATTTGTTATCAAATAATTTCCTTGGGTCGGGCGACATGCTCTCAATGTGGCAGATTACACTGAGGTTTGAAGGAGGCAGTTCGTCGTGTGGGAGGGATCCCCTATGAATGTGAAAGGGCGCTAGCTTAGTCCCCGCACTTGAATAGAATATTATCGTAACTCAATAGTGGAGCCAGTAATTAATTTCTTTCATCAAAGTTGTTAGTAGTATGTGTCTGTGTGTGTGTGTGTGTGTGTGTGTGTGTGTGTGTGTGTTTGTGTTTGTGTTTGTGTTTGTGTGTGTGTGTGTGTAGGGGTGGGGTTGTGTTCAGGAGGTTGATAAGGATGGAGAAAAATAACGATGCTGACAATAATAATGTTAATGGTGATGAT